TCAATCGTATTCGTGCCGCTGGCGCGGATTCCCTCCCACCTGCACTATTTAAGGATGGAGGTGAGGTCCTCTGCAAAGCACTGACCTCCCTATTCGAACGTATCCGGAAGGAAGAGTGCCCCGGCTAATTGGAGCGAATCGATTATAGTGGCAATATACAAGAAGGGCAGTCGCACAGACTGTTCTAACCACTGGTGTATTAGCCTAACGTCAGTTGTGACAAAATTATTGGCTTCGATTCTCGTTCGTCGCCTCACTGTGGAACTTGAATCTCGGATGAGGGAAGAGCAGGTCGGTTTCCGTCTAGGGCGTGGCTGTATTGACCATATATTCACTTGCGGCAGTTGCTAGATCAGCGCCACGCGTACCGCAGACCGATAATAGCTGTGTTTCTCGATTTCAAGAGTGCGTTCGATTCAGTCGATCGATGCATTCTGTTCGAAATACTTGCGCGGAAAGATGTTCCCACGAAATATGTGAACGTCTTACGTGCTCTATACTCGAACACTACAGGCCGTAGCATGGTCTACGGTGTCCCATCGGATAGCTTTCCGACCACAAGTGGCGTTCTTCAGGGTTGTCCGATTTCCCCATTTTTGTTCAATTTCGGCGTTGATTTTATCATGGAGTGTTCCCTTGCGGAATCTAACGATGTATTCGTTGAAGTGCTGCCTGGTGAAGGGTTATTTGATTTTGATTATGCGGACGATATCGTCTTGCTTTTCGATGATTTTCTGGCGGCACTATCAATCCTGAATAGCAAGTCTAGAGTGGTCCATTATTTGGTATGCACTTCGCACCTTCAAACTGCAAGGTGTTGCTGTAGGACCACCAGCCTCTTGATGATCCCTTGACGCTTGCTAACAAGGAACTCGAGATGGTTGATCAATTGAATTATCTAGGCAGCTGCGTCAGCAACGATGGGTGCATAGAAACTGACGTCAGCTCACGCATTGTAAAAGCCAGAGCTGTCTTCTTGAACCTGCGGCATCTTTGGCGACAGAAGGGAATTTCCGTCTGAAAGACCGCGTATACAATGCCACAGTGAGGGCCGTTCTGTTGTGTGGTAGTGAAACTTGGCCCCTTCGGTCTGAAGATTTGAGGCGCCTTCAAGTCTTTGATCATCGTTGTCTGCGAAGCATTGCTGGTGTCGGATGGCACTAGCGTGTCCACAACGATGATGTGCGTAGGCGGGTACTAGGTGGTGATAATCATGCTAGCTCCCTAGAACAACAGATAGCACTGAATAAGTTGCGTTGGCTCGGGCACGTGCTACGTATGCCAGGTCACCGCTTACCTAGGAGGGTCTTGTTTAGTCTGCCAGGTGTAGGGTGGCGCAAGCCTCAAGGTGGACAGAAGTTGACTTGGAAGCGGGAAATGAAGTCACTGACGATCACCCTGGGTGCGTTGGTCCGTCTCGACTTCCGGGCTGGAGTCCGCGTGACTCGCCTTGTGTTTTGCTCAAGGCTTTACAGGACATGGCTCGCAGTAGACACCAGTGGCGTGTCTGCTGCCGTCTCCTAATCAGATTGCCTGTTTACTGCTGTTTGGTGCTGAGTTAACTGCGAGAAAATGGCTGATTATGACACGTGACAGTAAAAGCCGCAAGGAAGCTGTCTCGCCGATGTCGCTTTATTTTTGCACGATAGCCAGCTGTTTGTGATGATATGTTGTCTACACAAGGTGTAAGCGCCTTGACCCTGAATGTTTGCTTAGGGTATTAAGGTTTTCAGGTACGTCCCCCTTCTCTCCCTCTTATTATTCTTTATTTCATAGGTCATCACGGTTGTATGACAGCGAATCATCAGTTCAAATGGCTGATGTACTGCTGTTGTTGATGATATTAAGACGCTCCCAAGGTAGCAAAATCTCGAAGTGGTTTACAGCACTTCGTCGACAATCTGAATTTGGGGCAGGTTCGCGGACTCCCTACCTGGTGAAAGCTGGGAATGACAGACAGTTTTGTCGGTGTTGATAATGTGCCCGAATTTGGCCGCTGTCTAAGCGAGGGTCGAGGTCATGTGCTGCAACTCGTCCGCGCTGTATACAAACAGCGCACAGTCGTTAGCAAACAGCAACAAACGCATCGTTGTCTCACAGATTAGGGTGCTCGCACTGAAACGACGGATATTCAGCTACCCACCATCAATACGGTGCTTCACATGAACACCGTATGCACAAGCAGTATCCAACGCACACGACGTCATGGCATAAAGGTAAAACAGTGCAGAAGCTAAGACACAGCCTTGCTTCACACCAGAGACAACTGCGAAACCATCTGAAGCGGTTGAGCAGGTTTCGGGCGATCATCTTGCCCACACAACTCAGCAACTTGATGCCACGATAATTCGTGCAACATTGCTTTCTCCCTTTGCCCTTGTACAGTGGTAGCACAAGGGCATCGTTCAGCTCAGGAGGCAGCTCCTTATCAATCCACACGCGTTGCACCAAGTGGTGCAGCGCAGTCAACAACGCGGGTCCACCGTGTTTCCATACTTCAGGCGGGATCGCGTCAGCCCCGGCACACTTGCCGTTTCACAGCTGAGCAAGTGCTCTCTGCGTCTCATCCATTTTTGCGTCGCCAAGACGCGCTTCATCTCGTGTTGTTGCAGTCCGTGCAACCAGTCCAGTCGATCCCTGAACGGTTGTTCAAGAGACAATCAAAGTGTTTTCGCTAGATCTGCCTTATGCCTGCAATCTGCGTGCAGGTATCGCCTGAACTACCATCGAGTAGCGTCCTTAGTGGCTCCAACCTCGGTCCACACACCGTCTTTAAGGAGTCAAACATTTCCTTGTTTTGGCGGCGTTCGACATAGCATTTCAGTCTGCTTCACCTTCTCTGTCCACCATGCATTTTTAATGCGACGAAGCTCTCGGGTCAGTCGCCGTCGTAGTTTGCGAAACCGACTGTTCTTCCCCGAGTCACTGGGGTCTTTCACACGTCCTGCAAATGCTGCATTCTTCTCTGACACCAATGCACCAATCGTGGCATTGTTCTCATCAAATTGCTCGAACCGCTTACAGTTTGCGCGCCCGGTTATCTCCTCGGCAGCAGCTGTCACCTGATCGCGAATGTGGTGCCACACGTAGCCCAGTGCGGTTATGCATTACACATCGCACAGTCGTGCAACCATCGCCTTCTCCAGCTTAGTACGTTTCGCCACAGTACCGTAGGTGATAACGTTATATTTCTGCCAGTTCACTACAGGAGTTCGTTACGTAGATTTACGAAAATATATGTACAGTTTGGTCCGAACCAATTTGTGATCGGTGCCACACTCAGCTCCACGCAGTACACGTGTCATGCGTACTTCACACATATCACGCTGACGTACTATGACAAAGTAGAGCAGGTGAGCGTAACCACTCCGTCGATGCTTCCAAATTGCTATATCACTCGCACTCAGTGCAGACCACGTGTTCGCGATCGTTAGGCCGTGAGTGACACACAGTGAGAGCAGCCTGTCACCGTTCGCGTTTTTTTTAACCAGTGTCATGCGGACGGATAATATCTGTCCACACCGATGCATCACACTTAAGGCGCGCATTGAAATCACCCAGCAGAAATAGTCGCTAGCTTCCCGTCCCAGGTTGTATCACGGAAAATAACTGAGTGTAGAATTGATCACGCGTGTCATCAAGATGAAACATGGTCGGTCCGTACTTGCTAATAAATGTGGCAAACCTACCTCTTCCGAGTCGTAGGCGAGCAGTCATCAGTCGCGCGCTGATGCCTGTTGGTTCACCCACGAGCTGGCCATGGAGGCGGTCGGATATTACAAATCCGACCCCATCTTCACGGGGTGCTGAGGCGGCGTTTCCCACCCAGTAGAACGTATAGCGGGCACCGGGTTCGTGCAACTTACCTTGCTCACCGAGCCGGGTCTGGCTGACTGTCGATGTCGATGTTGTAGTGCGCCAATTCTATCGCGACCAGTTCATTTCGTCGCTCGGGACGCTCACTCGCGTTTCGGTGCTGTAGGGTGCGCACGTTCCAGCACCGGATGTTGAGTGCTTTGCGCGCAGGTATGCCATTGAAGCGGTGGGCCATCGCACGCGTGTTTGGTGGTTGTGCTTTGGAGGTTTGCTTTAGTGACTCCGCCCGGAACCTTTGGCTCAATAGCCTGACCCACAAGGCAGTGGTGAGCAGATCCAGCTCGGGAATCTGATTGCGGAAACAGATTGAGATCTGCTTGAGGTCCATCACACACAGCCTTTGAAGATCTGGAGCAATTCGTATGTGTTTTGCAACCGTTGTAGGATACGCACCTTCAATCGCGGCCAGACGCAGGAGGGTTTTGTTGGGTTTGCACCAATTTGGCCAGAGGCTGCCTGACTTGTGGCGGGCAGTGGCCAACCATTGAGCACCCGGATTTGCCCTCCCTCTATCCGAGACAATGCGTGGCGCTCGTGCTCTACGGCAATGGAACTGTGACCTTATAACCCTTGGACCTGTTGTCTTCAATGGCTAGGTTTTAAAGGAAGAGGGCCATCGACCACTTCCTAACCTCCGAAGAGGACACAGCTCGGACTAGGATACTGGCAGGGCGCCCACACTTGACAGGAGAACAACTCGGGTCCTCAGGGAAAGTTTTGGATTAAATGTACACCCGAAAGGCAGCGGGTCTAGCACATGGTCAGTTCACTGACTCATGCGGATTGGTATCCTGACTCTTAGCTAGGAGAGGGGCGTATCCGAACCCTTACCCAGCAGTCGCCACGAGGTGGCGTCCAAGACATGAGTCCATGGCACAACAGTAGCAGCAATGGGTAGACCATCTGTCAGAATCTAGCCACTACCAGCCTCAGCGCACCATAGGCTCTCCCGCCGTCGTATTTTTGATACCTTGTATGTGTGTATGTTATGGGGCCTTCTGCAATGAAGTCTTCTTTCCCTACCTAACTGGTTGCATTCTACTCGTGCGGCGTCGTTATCATCCGGTCCCTCGATCACGATTGAAAAGCGTTCTTTTTCCAACCCTTTTTCTGCACTTATTTAGATCTGTGTTCTGTGTTGGTTCAACTCTCCCGAAGGATGGGTGTTCGGTCCAACCTTGAGTTCCCACGATTGGACATCCCACATGCGTTGGGATAGGCTTGTTTTGGTCGAATTTCCATGTGTACCTCCTAAAGGCCTACGATCTGCGAAAGCCCCTGTCCCGACTGGGATCGGTCTGCTCGCACTGTTTCTATCTCCATGCGGGGACGCTGTGCCTTACGTCGCTCATCGCGTCTTCACTCGATTGTCGCCTTCACCGCCCAACGTGACGCATGAAGTCCGCTGTCCGTCGAAGAGAGGTAAGTACGCTTTACCGCCTAAACACTTTCGGTTTTACTCTCGATTTAGACAAACCGAAACGCCGTAGAACCTTTGTGCTTATTTGTCTACCGGATCATCACTTTGCGTTACGCACATAATTTTGCCATTCATGTTGGTGTTATGAGCAGGTACCTATGACAGACTGGGGGCAGTTTACTAATCCATCTTGATCATCGTTGTGACGGCTTGTTTGGCACTGTACGCTTTTGTTGTCGATGCTTTTCGCTGAGGAATTGAGTTACGCGGCTTGGTCGTTGTGATCATTCATCCGGTACAGTTTGTTTTGCTGGACTGCACTCTCATGGTTTATTGCCTTCATAGATCTCCGGTACGCGCTTCAATTTATATGGGGGACACATTTTTACCCACTAGACAGGTGGTACCACTACGCGACCTCTACGGTCTTGTCAGGATCGACTACGTCAGTCCACACCGCAACATCATGCCCAATCCTCGCGTTGAAATCACCCAGCAGAATTAGTCGGTCGCTCCTCGGCATAGACTTCTCATAGAGAACAACTGGGAGTAAAACTGACCCTTTGTGTCGTCAGAATACTACACGATTGGAGAATGCATGCTAACAAGAGTTGCGAATTTAACTTCCAATTCGTAGACGGAGTGTCATCAGTAATGGTCTGACGCTAGTCGGCTTTCCCATCAGGTGGCCATTTAGATGTTCGGAAAGTGCAAATCCCACTTCGTGTTCATATGGTGCTGTGGTGGCGTTTCTCTACGTTGTGGAACGTATACCCAGTACCATCTGCATACAGCTTACCTTGGTCAGCGAGGCAATTCTTACCGATTACGGCAATATCGAAGCCGTGGCGCGTGAATTCCATCGCGACAAGGGTAGTGCTTCACTCGGGACTGTCACTTGTCTTCTGGTCTAGTAATGTGCACACATTGCGAAATCCGAGCTTGTGCGGAGGCATGCGACTGCGCCGGGTAGTTCCTCAGGTGGTGAGATGGGCTGGAGGTTGGTCAGGTGAAATGGGACTGGGACAGGAGAGTGTGGAAAGCAATGGGAAAAAGACAGAAGTGAGGCGCCCCAGTAGCATCTTCTGGCTTACCTACCTCGCCGTGTACAGCAATAAAGGTTATCCTTTTCCCCATTGCACGACCACCTTCACAGCTTGGGAGTATCTATAGTTGTGTTTGTGGTTGAACTGATATACTGTCATGGTGTTCACACCTAAACTGCAGAACGACTCGGGTTCTCAGCCAAGGCCTTCGACAGAATTTACTCCTGAATGGCAGCGGGAAATGCACGCGGATGTCCTGCCTCTTAACTAGAAGAAGAGTGTAACCCAATTCCCATCCAGCACATGGGTTCACGGCATAACATTAGTAACAACGGGTTGAAGATGTATCAGGATCTCGCCACCATAAGCCTCAGCGAGCCGTGAACTCTCGCGATTGCATGCGAATAAGCCCATACTTCGACATGTTTAGGTTTTCGCACTTGACGCAGTGACATAACAGCGGCATTTCAAGATGGCACGGTTTCTAAGACAAATGAAATGTTAGGTTTGTATGTGTAATCGTCACATCTTAACCTAGTCAGACAGCAGCTAAACTTCTTTGCTATCGTTGAACAGTGGTTTTGTCTTTAAATAAATAAATACATCTTCTATCTCTCAACGATGCTAGAGCCTATTCCCACATAGGGAAAGATAAAAATATTTACAGATTTTTTTCATTTAGTCCCCTCTGCATATTAGATGGGAATATGCATTATGTTATATCCATGTCAGTTTCACACATGCACGATGTTCATGGTGAAGTGCAGAAGATTGTGCTGGGCTTATATCCTCCGTTAACGGATGTCCCATCGATCTGAACCCGCGCAGCCTGACCAGAAGGCGGAAACGGGACTTTCGTGGATGAGCCATACTTTCAAACTCCCGCTGCTGCGCAATTCAACTTCATCAATCGATTAAATCACGTTCAGAAGTCCCAGTTTGTAGTGGATTCAGGAAGAAAATAAACTAAACAATAGTATCAAGGTACATAAGGAACGGCTGTAAAATGATTACTAGTAAAAATAAATATAGCTTCAATATCTGTCAGATAATTATCTAAACATATAGACATCAGTTTGCCCAGAAGGTATAAAATTTGGCAAACGTTCTTTTAATTTCCCTAGAGTTGTTTTGGGACATCGAAAAATGCAGACTCATGCCGGAAGCCTTACCCTGTGAGAAAAGTACTTCAGAATGAAACGAAGATTCTGATAGCAACAGACTCGGGTACTAAGTATAATGAAAGCCAAAGGTGCCTCGTTTAGTAGATGACAACATTTCAGTGCGACGCAGCTATACTAGGAAAAGTGACCTAGATGATAGCAACATAATTTCTAAATTGTCAAACAATGTTAAGTATGTTATAGCACAATAATATTTGTGACATGAGTTGTAGTGGAAAGCTTTATGGCCGCTATACTCTGTATTATTACAACATACAGTAAGGCTTGCGTGCATCACCAACCATAACCTCTCTGGTTATTCTGAACGATGTTAACTTTTGTTACTCCAGGGTAAAGTCCGAGTAATAGTATAAGCGTGGCAGTCGGTGGGAGCATAAGCGGAAATCACAAACAAACAGCGTGTTGTACTACTTCGTGAATCCACCTTAGCTGATGTCGTCAAACGGGCTGCACATAAACGGCTGCTCGTCGGAAGCCAATCAACCAACGATGGCTCAGCCTTGGAGCTTAGAATGATATCTACACCAGCTTGACCCGTGAGTGCCGCATCGACATCTCCGGATGCGTGCAACCAATAACGAGAGGATAAGCCGGGCGCAGTTAATTCAATAACTCCACTAGGGTCATTGATCCTAGTTTCGGACCCACAACACATCAATACCCAGTGTGTCCAGGGGGGGGGCGACTGCAGCCTGTTGACCTATTTGTATTAGAGTGCGAACGTTGAATGTTGCCATGGAAACGGGATAGCGTGGCCTTATAAGGGACTGTTGCCGATAGGTGCGGTGGGATGGTGGCTGCAGATGGTTCTACTCCAGTAGCACTTCGATTGCTGTCAATTAAGCTGGGAATTATAGAGGGAAGGTTAGTAATGGGGGTTGGGATGGGAGTACGAGAAACAGGTGGAAAAGAAAGTAGGGAGGCGCCAGCAGTAGCATGTTTTCGCTTATCCGTTCTGCTGTATGCAGCAGATAAGGCGACCCTTGATAATCTGCGCGACGGCCGATGCAGGATGAAGTTTATATTTGAAGAAGATGTCATGGTTATATGTGGGATGAGATACTACCAGAGCACCCAGACCTAGACAGGAGGACGATTAGCGTCCTCATCCAAAGCGTTTGGCTCAAAAGCCTGTCCGCAAGGCAGCAGGGAGGTGGCAATGATTTAGTTTTACAGAAATGGACGCCATCCCACTTCAAACCCCCAACCTGGAGGAGACTGAGTTTGTCTGACCTCTCACCATTGACCAACCTGGTAGGAGTAGCTCTCAAGGTGCCCGGAGGCATCCATCGCAATGAGGCTGGACCTTAACGTGGTGCGATGGTTTGTGTGCCTCAGTGATCCATTGAGCTATACTGGGTGGTGCTTTTGCACATTCAGAGCCACTCATACCAGATTGGTCAATGGTTAGAGGCCAGACAAACTCAGCCTCCTGGTCCTCCAGGTTGGGGGTTGGAATGAGGGTGGCTCCTTATTCCTTAAAACGGACTCCTTGTAGTCCAGTGCCAAACCCGCTGCCTTGCGGCCAGGTTTTTGAACCAAAGGCTTTGATTGAGAACCCTAATCGTTCTCCTGTCTAGGCCTAGGCAACCTGACAGTATCCTGCCCACGCAATACAATGAATCGCACTTCAAACAAATTTCTGATGCTCTGGCCACCGCAGAGGATAATCAACGGTGCCCTATCTACTGCATCGGGCAGGGTGGATAGGGGTTTGGATGCTACTGCTCAAGCCTGCCCGTCTTCTTATTCCCCTTCTTGCGCTTTTTCACCCTTATCGTCCCGTTCCAACTTCACTTTTACCCCCCCCCTGTTTTCAACCCCCCAATTCTCGGCCCTCCCCCACCTTGCTTCAATAGTCGCTTGTCTTTTAGTTTCAGCTCACATGTGAACATGGAGTGTCATTCCTGCACTGTCAACAGGCCCATGCCCAAGCAAGCGGTGCACCCCAGTTCATCAGCTTCCATTTGGAGCCCTCGATCCTCCTTCAGACTGGCATGCCTCAATGTTCGCACATTGCTTCAGATCGGTCAACAGGCAGCACTCGCCCGAACATTGGAGACCCTCTCGATCGATATCTGCTGCTTATCGGAGACCCGCCTGCAAGACTCGAGCTCTGTATTCACTCTGCGATCCCCTTCAGGTGACACTAGCAGCACTTTCTCATTGCGCCTATCCAGTGACGATGCAGCTTCGAGCACCGGCCAAGCCGGTGTTGGTATTGCCCTGTGTCCTCGGGCTGAAACTGCTCTGGTTGATTGGATTCCAATCAGTAGCCGGATGTGTGCGGTCCGATTGGCTGGCTCGTTCAAAACTTCGAAGTCGCGTGGGACTAACAGGTGTCTATTCGTTATCGCTGCCTATGCACCGACAAACTGTAGCGATGACTCGGTAAAAGACGACTTCTATCGCCAACTGAACGAACTCCTTCGCCACAGAAGAAGCTCGGACACTGTAGTGCTGGCTGGGGATCTGAACGCTCAAGTTGGAAAATTATCTACAGATGAGCTGCATCTGGGCGGCCAACACGGTATAGACTCCTGTAATGATAACGGTGAGCGGTTACTTCATTTGTGTGAGGATGCTCGCTTATTTCTTGCGAGCACTAATTTCCGACACAGCACCCGCCGGAGGGTGACTTGGCGCCCACCAGCCTCGAACCAGCTATGGACGCAAATCGATCACATTGCTATCAGTTACCGCTGGAGAGGCTGCGTCCAGAACTGTCGCTCGATTTGGAGCACAGGTGTTGACACCGATCATGCACTTGTA